CCACGCCTTCCCAAAGCTGAGATTTAGAAGAAAGGCGTGGGTACATGAGGGGGGGGGGTACCATATATATATATGTATATATATATATATATAAATATAATTCAAAGAGACAAAAGACTGCTCATGTGTTATGTATACTGCTCTACTTCTCGGGGCTCTAGAGTTGCTAGCCTTTTCGGAAAAACACTGATGTCTCCGGCATGCTGAGACTTTTCTTGTCGTTGGACGACAGAGGGCGCTCTGGCTGCTGGGACGGTTTCATAATTCGCCATGAGAATAAGAATTGCGGGGTGTACTATAGTCCAATCACGCAGCGCCACAAGGGGACATGCAAAAAAAACACGCAAGCGAAGAACCCGAAATATCCCGAAATTCCCCTATCCCAACAGGCTCTGAACCCTGCAGATCCCGTAGACCCTACACCCTACACCCTCAAGCTGCAAAACCTGCGGAAGCATCGCCGAAAGTGGCGTGAAGCAGAGATCCTTGGGACTGCGCGGAGCCCCCAAAGGCCCTGCCATGGGACTCAGATTCTGTCCCTCCCACGTTCCTGTCCCGCCAGGCTCGAACCATAGTACTTCGGGCAGTGGCAAATACAACACCTCGACACAGGCGAATAGCTGCTCTTCACACTCAGCTTGCACCAGCGCCCTCTTTCCTTCACAGTCCCTCTCCCTATCGGTCACAAAAAACCGGCCACACAGGTAGCTCGCAGAGCAGCATCAGCTCTGGTTGATGGAACCTCATCCATTGCACCAATTGATCCACTTATAATTTTAAAACCATTGAGGCGCAATTTCTTCGTGCTGCAGTACTTCTTGGACATATACCTTCCTCATAGTTTCCTCAGCACGGAGTAATTGTTGCACTCGTTGCTCACCGACTATAGATGGATCATGGTGAGCTCGACTTGTGAGACTCAACACTTAAAGTCTGCCGTGTGCGCCGGCTTGTTGCTGAGGTTGTATGGCCCTATCCAATAGCAAACCGGCGATACCAAGTCGCCAGAGCCAAACGGACTATCATTCCCTGCCAGAGGCACAAGAACTTGGTCAATCGCCTCCCTTCTCACCAAAAGTGAAGAAGGTTCTGGTGGCTTCCGTGCACCTTTACGCGACGAACTTCTAGATAAAGATTTCGATTTTGACTACTCTGGGCTCTTCATTTCACGATCTTTTGCCTTAATCGATAATTGCAAGCATCTCATCAGTATCTTCAAAGGACGTCTTTCCTCTGGTTTGACTTTTGCATCTACCGATAAAGATCTCGGTTGAGATGAAGTCCTGAGCAATATCTTGCTCTTCATCTCGAGTTTGTGTTCGTAGATGATTCTGATAGTTTCTTCTTCTTCTTCTTGGATTCCTGTGTTGTTGCTAAATGCACAGAGATAGTCGTAGCTTCTATTTCATCACCAATCAAATCAGTAATTGCTGGCACTACCACTTCATCACCACAAGTCATAGTCGTATCTGCACCTGATCCAGATGTCATTTTCAGCGTACTATCGCAATATCAAAGTCCTTATATAAACAGAACCTACGGCCAATAACCTGCGGGAAAATTTAGTCTTACTATTCAATATAATCGCTCACTTCAGCGAACTATATAATATATTGTGGTAGCACACAAATAGATACAGACTCACGCTCCCGAAGCAATCAGCCTCAATCCCTTTTGCTTCTCGCACTGACGGTCGAGGTGTCTATGCAAGGGGCACCACATCATAGCTACCAACTAGATCTCAAGTGTACGAATACTATTCCGTTCACCTCAAGCTCTTTGAGCTTGTGCCTTGAGCCAAACATTCGCCGGAGCCGATAGATCATGTGGTCACCAAAGGTTCCCCACATATTTCTTCTCATAGCTCGTACGGATACGGCAGCCAAAGGCTCACCGTATGCCTCATTGAAATTGCACTAGGCTTCGAGGTCTCTTCGCATATTACCTTCATCTAATTATTGCTCTTTCTTTCTTAGAATTATTATGCCACAAAAAGTTAAATGTTAGAAAATCTTATACATTTCTGTTTTTCCTATTTATACTATATTTATTGGTAAATCAAGAACGAATATATGATTCAAACAATATAAAGCAGTGAACAAATTGAATACGGATCCCAGGAGCCCCTATAATTCGATTACCAACCAATGGAGAATATAGGAAGCATGCCAAACCGAAGTATAGGATGCTCTTGAAATAAGTCTCATGTCCCGGAAATCAAGGGTGTAGTAGGATTATATAAAAATGAACAAAAAATAACGAAACGATGGAAGCCTGTGTTCTGTAATTCAAACAACACAACACACCAGGAACTGCAACTAACAGCCTGTGGTAACCAATGCCGGCACACGTGCTTGTTAGAATGAAGGACGCGGTCAGCCACAGTCAGAAACTGCCGACGTTTGCCGGCAAGCTGCGGATCAGCTGGAGAGGGTAATTAAAAGCCATCATGACGACTTCATTCGCGGTGGCAGCGTCTCACGGCTTTTAGCCGAAAGAGAACTTTGATTGATTCAAGTACGGGAAGTTAACCTCATTGCGTCTTTTTCTTGTCTTTCTTCAGTCCTGCCGCAGCTTCCTCGAGGATCTTCTGCATCTTGGCAAAATCGCGGTTCTTCACCTTGCCAACCTGAGGCAGGTAAAACCTTGAGCCGGTGTCCCTCATGTTTCATCCCGGGCCTGCGACTGGATGGCTACAACAGCAGCGCCCAGGGTTGCAGCGTTGGCACTGAGCTGTGCGATCCAGGCATCCGGTCCCAGGAAAAGCATCACACCCACCAGCAGGAAGGCACCCACGCCTGGCCGCTTGTCATGTCGGAGATGGAATATCACAATCTCCAGCGTTCTCCAACACTGGTCACTAGCTGCAAGCTTTCTGGTTGGGGATCAAAGCTTCTGGCTACGCACGGCCCGGCCTAGAAAAAGCAGCACGGCTTCCACCTGGAGCAGAAGCAACTGACCCCGGCTGAGTCCCAGCAGTACCAGGAGGTGATCTTCGATATCTTTCAGATCCTTAGACTGGCACCCCTACCATGGATGGTGAGGGCTATATGCGTGGAGAAGCACAGCAGCGAGGGGCCATGTGCTGGGGTGTTGACCTGAACAGCTTTTATGGTGACAAGCAACCTGGCTGATATCAGAATCTGTCTTTGCATGGTCGGGCTTCTCGTCGGTCCCAGATTCATCCGGGACCTTGCCGAACTCCTTTTCCAACTCCATCAGCTCCTGGACTCTCAGCCCATACAGCCAAGAAGAGACCAGAAAACACGAAGGCGAAGAGTGTGGGCGCGGCTAAGCGAAGCGCCTCCTTGGATTTGTGCACCAGGTCCCGGACCCACGCCTTGGCCTTCAGCACCACTTCCTTCATCTGAACGGTCACCAGCTGGGCAACCTTCCGCTACACGCGGCTACACATGCAAAAAAACGTGCACACCTCCACTGCAGAGATGGGACACAGCAGGCACTGGCCAACATGGCAAGCACGGGCGCCATGACAGCTGGCTTCAAGAGCGCAGACAGCGCCACGAAGAGCAACACCAACCCGACATAGCCTAAGGACAAAAGAAGAGAGCAAACATGGCCGGTTGGCCACTTGACTCTACTGAAAATGAATAGTAGCAGCTTTGCCTGCAAAGAATAATGAGCTAGCGCCCACGGCCATGTTGGGCAGTGTGACAGAGCGATGTGCGCTTCACATGTCTTCAGGGCAATACTCTAAACTCCTGGCATCCCCCTTATTAACCCGAGCAAGAGTCCGTTAAAAATCCTCCCCTATTTAAAGAGTTTAGATTTAGACTATTTCTCATGTAGCCTTTTTAGCTTTCAGCTTTCTTTAAGCGCTTCATTTGGCCCTTATCGTGGCTCCAGCTGCCACGCTCTTGACTAGCAAGCTGGCAACATCGAAGCTTTCCTGGTGCCTCAAGTGCCTCAAGAATGGGGGACGAAAAGACTCAGAATTGAGCGGTGTAAGCTGTGCCACTCTGCCAGGAGACTTTTCACAGAATATGACTCAAATGTGGCCAGAAAAGCTTCCAAGCCAAGGCAAGCCACTCAGACACAGGGCCACCCCGAGCAGCATGGTGCTGCAAACCACAAGGACATAGATCCAGCTGCTTCCCACTTTCAAGAGCGCAAGGTGTCGACCTCGAGCGGGGACCTCGCTGGTCACCCACCTGACTTGCCTTGGATAGCGCTGGGAATACCGATCTTGATGTGAGACTTCGACACAAACCCAGCCACCTGTGGCAGCTTGGGCACTCCGAGCGCAAGATATACTCGAAGAGTGTGTTGATCAACAGCAGCGCTTCCATTACGATGGCAGCAATAAGAAGGCCCGAAGACAAGCCCGGGTTGACCACAAAGCACTCCCCGTGCACGTAGTCCGTGAATGAGCAAAGCTGCTTGGCCATCTCCTCACCAGGGTTTAGAAGCCTTACGGACCAAACTCGGACACGAGCTCTCTCCTCTTCAGATAGCCAGTGATGATAAGCCGCAGCCCTTGGCACTCGACATGTCAGGCCCTGACAGGTCCGACGAGAGAAGCCTTAAGCACCAAACGCAAAGGGCAGCACCAGAAGTTGCATTGCTACCTTAGTTCAAACCGACACCGGCGCATTCCAAAAGGATGTGCTGGGCAATATCAGCATCCTGGGTACAAATTGCAGCAGTGCAAGCTTGCACAAGTCCATGGAGCCAAGGTCCTGGTTCAAGATCGGGCAGCAAACTTGCGGAGTCCCTGGGCAAAACTTACGCTGCAACCCTTCCTTGAAGCCAGCCGGCACTCGGAACACGAGGTACTCGAGAATGGCCAGCGCTCCAGCCGACTGTGCCTGTGCAGCAGGAAGGGAGCACAAGTCCTCAGCCTCAGCAATTGCACAAAAACCACAGCACAGAGATGTCCACAAACAGCACCCAATTTCGGTTGACGTCGTTGAAGCCGTGATTTTGAAAAGCCGTTGACGCCGTGACTGTGGCTGACGCCGTTGACGCCGCGGCTCTCGCTGACGCCGTTGACGCTGTTGACGCCTTTCACGCCGTCACCTGAAACCCCTGAACCCTAAACCCGGCTTTGCACTCTTCTTTTTTTGTATTATTATACATATACAAAGTTAGTTATTACATATTGTATGCTATATATTATATACTCTTTGTTTTCCTGATATGGTACATGTTGTCATACTTTTTGTATATTATATGTAATAGAATCTCTATTCTATATTATATGCTATGTATCGAGTTATATATATATACACACATATATTAAACATTATATGTTATATATAATATGGTGTATATAATGTATAGTATATTATGTATCATATCACATGTCACATATTATATATTATGTATTATATATCATATATTATATGTTCTATATCAAATAATATATATATATATATAATTGTATATTATACTACATAGTAGATATTATATATCATATACGATATATCATATAACATATTTTTCAACTAGACTAGACTAGACTAAACTATACTCTATACTGTACCACACTATGCCATACTCTGCTAGATTTCAAAGTGTTATATATACTATACTCTACTCTACTCTACTCTACAATACTAGAGTCGACGCCGTTGACGCATTGACTGTCGCTGACGCCGTTGACGCCGTTGATGCCGTTGACGCCGTCACATCTTCACGTCGTCGCGCCAAAAGTCGCATCGTCACATCGTCACGCTGAGCCCCAAAATTTCGGAAGCCCTACGGGCATCAATGCGCAAGTACTACATTGTACTGTAGTTTCCATTTGGCATCTCAAGGAAGCCTCCAGCTTGAGCAGCTCCTGCATCTCGGCGCCTACAGTGAGAAAGCTGGATCAACCGTTCCGGTAAGAGATGGGAAAGGGACGCCACACCAACCTTGCCTTCTTGCAAGTGGCTGGCATCTGCTTTCTCTGCATCCTTGGACTTTTTCTTCAACAACCTGCTCTTGACTCTCCTGAACCTGCCAAGTGTGATGTCCAGTGGATCTGTGTCGTGGAGTGGAGAAAAGGCACGGAGGTGCGATGCTGCAGGACCTGCCTTCCTTTCTCGAGATTGTAGATGACAAAGAAGACCTGCCTCATTTCTGCAGCTACATTCACAAGCTGATATCATGCAGCTATGCCAGGACCTTATACCAAATGGGCTTGCATTCCGCGGTTCGGCGGCTGGCAGTCCCGTCAAGGCACGAGCCAAACAGAGCGCCCATGATCGCCAAGAAGAAGATTGCCTTGGCCAATCTGGCGACTTTAAGTGCTTGAGGCTTGCCATCTTGGCTCAGCCACCGGCTATGAGAAACAACAGGCCGAGCAGGCCGCGAAGGAGAGAAGGATTGTTTTGCACCTGCCTGAACTCTGCAGAGGTTTGCAGTTGACTCATGCTGCGTCGGCTGCTTGAACCAGTCAAGGAGCCGAACATATTTCCCGCGTGTCAACGAGAAAGTTTCCACAACCCCGTCAGCAAAGGACGGGAAGAAGACCTCTGTCTTGTTCTCTTGCTGGCCCTGACAGGACCGCAATGCGCCCCAGATGGCCATGTGTCCTGTTCAGACCCCGGCCTCAATGTACACCACTTGGCTGTTCGGCACACTTGGAGCAAGCAGCGCACTCGGAAGGCTTTGCAGAAGAGCTTTCAGACTGTCTTCCAGAGCCATGACCCGCAGGCTCAGAGTTGTGGGCTCCTCAACAGAAACGCGTTGCACATCTCAAGCTCCAGTCCCGTCCTTTCTGTGCCTGGTCTACACAGTCGGGGGTCTGCACCAGAAGACGCTGCTCCTTCGGCACACATCCCCCAAAAAGCCTTACTCCCAAGGATCTGAGTCGCGCCGCGCCTCTGTGAGGCAAAGCCCGGAGTTGATCAGCACCGCATGACGCACTGTCTCAGGGGCCTAAGGGTCAACAAAGTCAACATTTGCTTGCTTCTGTCCATAACTTTTGGGGCAGGTCTAGGCGCCGAACGTAGATTCCGGCCGTGAAAACAGGGAAGAGCAAGAGAGGAAACCACATCAGCGTGTTGCCGTAGCGGGAGTAGATCCAGGAGCCTTGCGACCCAGGCTAAAGGGCGTTTAAAGGGCCTCCTCGCGGGGACCTCGGCCGCGCCTCTGGAGTTCATGTCTTGCAGGAAATTTCCCAAAGCAGGACCAACCACATGCAGCCTCGCACAGTACAGGGAGGAAAGCACCATGAAAAAAACCTTGTGGCGTGGAAGCAAGATCAGCTGAGGGGAATGAGCTTTTGGCCAAGCAGCCGCAGCGTTTCCACCTGTCGATCTGCCATCATCTGAGCCCAATTCGTAAAGCCTGGGGACAAACAAATTCTGAAGCATGGCCTTGAAGGCTTCCGTGCAATATGGGAGTTCCTGAAAAAAGGGGACCCTAATATAGTACCCTAAATAGTAGGATCCTTTTGATAAGGAAGCCAAAAATGAGGCACCCTAATTTTTGGAAGCTCCCATGTCTTCATGTGCTTTCCAGGGGCTTGGGCCAAGCTGGACAACACGCTCGCCCTTGAGAGTGTCAAGGGTGTTGTTGCAGCTTCGCTCCGACCTTTGAGATGCGTCAGGGTACTACTATCGCTAGTTTTAGTCTTACAACTACTATTTCTAGTGTTGCTACTATTGCTAGTTGTATTCTTACAACTACTATTACTAGTATTGCTATGTTTGTTATTGTTACTCTTACTCCTATTGTCATGACACTTTGATGTTTCATCCCATCAAGTCAGAGTGGCTTTCAGCCAAGTAACCGGACAACACCATGCGACACAAACAGGCGATTGTCCGGAGCATTGACGTCACGCGTCACGCTCACAGAGCGGTAGGGAGGGCCTGGGCTCACGGTGAAAATCTCAGTTGATTTGCTGTCAGTCATGGATCTTTTGAGGAGAAGGCCGTTCCCGAATCGATATGTCTGCTGCGCGGTGCCTTTTTTCAGGAGCGTCACAGGACCTCCCTGAGGTGCCTTAGCACCAAGCTCGACCATCCACGCAGGAAAGCATGACTACCCTGTGATCTTTCCGCACTGCTCGCCTCCACCTCATATCGAAAACCCCCGGCCCCACCTCCTCCAAATACTGAAAATATAGCACATCATCTAAAGTCCTTTTTAGTATCCCCTGAATAAGCCCTCTAATCGTCCCCTATATAATCCCCTGTCGGACCGCCCGGGAGTTTTGACTACAGCACCATGGCCACTCTTTGCTGCCACGACACGCCCGATGTGGCTGACATGCAGAGTTCAGCCTTCGCTTCGCTCTGCACCAGCAGGTCATCATCAACACCATCTGACACAGACCTGCGCTCCAGATAATGCGAATAAAAAACGTAATAACAGCAGTCATTTGCGCTGAAAATCGGGCAATCAGTCAATCAAGCCAGACAGCCCGGAGGCTGTAGGGTTCAGGCGAAATCCGACCGATGGTTATGTAAATGTGCTAACAACGTATAACAACGCATCCATTGGTTAGTGTCTTGCGCAGCTATGAGCACATCACCCAGCCCGGCGAATCTTTCAAAAGTAGAGTTCCAATCGAATGGAGGTCGTCCGATGCGTCAATTGGAATTGCGACGTGTGTGGATGCCTCGTCGAAAGTGGAAGCGTCTTCGCCAACCTTGAGCGTGCCGTCCGGCCGTGGTCACGCACGGATCCGGACGGCGGTTTCCTTGGACGACCTGGACGTCATCCGTGCTGACCGCCGCCAGACCGCGGGTCACGGCGCTGGTCTGCTCGACGCTTTGCCTATGTGCGCGAGCTGCGTCGGGTGCGCGAAGAGACCTGCGGCACCGGACCTGCAGTGTGCATAGTTCTTGATGCTGCTGTGCCGCACACGGGGCCCCCTTGCGCAACATGTGAGCGCGACCTGCGTGACGGGAGGCGGCAGCTGAAGACCCCTTCGCTGCTGGCCCGTCGCCGATGTGGCTGGGCTTTGCCGCGCTGCGCATTTCGCATGGGCAAACACGCTGTTCGTGACACAGATTGAAAACATGGTAGCAATGGTATTAGCGAATACATACATTCCAGGTACATTCATGTCTCCAAGCCCTTTTCAAAGAATAGCATCCAACAATGGGCCAAGCTTGTTGGGACGAGCCTGACCGTCAGATCGAAGCCGGGCATATTGTCTCCAGCATGCATGTACAGGCTCGTGTCTGCCAAAGTGAACCTGCACTGCCCCAATTTTTGTCCACGGGCAGGGCAGCGATGATCAATGCACCTAAGGCCCCTGCCTAGCCGTGTCAAAGTCCACATCACGCAGATGCAAGTAGCCACCACCCAAGTTGACCACCAAAGAGGGAACACTGACATTCTCCAGCTGCACGATGCCCTCGGGACCTCCAGGCACTTGGGAATTGCGGTCCTAGGCCAAGTCACACCAAACTGGCCTGAAATCGAAAGCGTGCTGCCCAAACTCACTGGACCCCCAATTCGCAGAAGACTTCTTCCACCCGCTTGGAGATTTGCCTGCCAAACTACATGCCAATCCGCACTACCGATGCTGATGCCAAGGCCGCAACCTGCCTGCGTCAACCGCCACTGCACATTGCTTCCGATTTCCAGCTTGGCAGCTGCCTTCACCGCGTGTGCGCTCATCTTCGCATTGTGCGCTGCGCTGTAAACTAGGCACCTCTTCTCCTTTGTCATTGGCTGGCCCGGAGCAGCCAAGAAGCAGTCGTCCAAAGCTTATGTCCTCGCATCCATCACATATTGCACCAATATCCCATATATCCCATGAACTACTAGCAGGAAGTCATTCAGCAAGATTCCAACAGTACATGGTTGCATTTCGGCTGTGCAACTAACGCGAGCGTTGACGCTTCGAGACACTTGATGCATGCTGGAATGCAAGTGAGGTCGACGAGGATGAGGCTGATGCATCGGGGAGTGGACGGACAAAGATGGTACACAAGAAGACGACATGTCATAAGGACAGCCATAGAAGCTTAGGGATACACAAGATCTGCAGCCACAAACATGACAAAGCATGACTGAAGACGTTGTGAAGGAAAATGGTAAATCATGTGATGGTGATGATGATGGTGGTGATTCTGCAGTGGGTATGGAGGAGAGCCGCAGGAGAGGAGGCAAAGAAGGAGGAGCAGGGTGGCAGCCCTGACGATTGTTGGGTTAATGGCACTGACATCATCATGAGGATGGAGTCGGAGGAGGAGGAGGCACAATAACAAGCGATGGTGACGAGCCCCCATGATGATGATGATGATGTTGGGATGATAAGAACGGTGACAGATTGTGTGAGTTGCACTTGCCCTTCACAGTTCGAGGGATGCTCATGCTGGCGTTTGCGCCAGGGCTGCAGCTGAAGCCAGGGCAGGCTGGTCCATGTCAGTTCGGTTCCCTCAAACGCAAACTGGCGATCTCCAAAATACATGTTGATCATCAAGTGAGCTTCAGGCGCTCGTCGGGGGAAGCTTACCGCATGTGCACAGTAGTAGCTTGCAGGAAGGCAGAACATGCCAGCAGCGCACAGGATGAGCAGCAGCACGTAGCATCCTGGTTGACAGATGCCGCGCTGCTGCCAAGCGTAGTCTCCGTGAATGACAACCCAGGACCTCAGAAAACAGGAAGGACCACAATGGCCTCGAAGTGCTTTGCAGGAACTCAGCTGCAAGAACGCATCTCTTTTGTTTCGCACACTATCGGGCACGTTGGCGGTGGTGCTATCTGCTGGGAGAACCCGGCTGGCGTGACCAAGCGAAGCCACAGGAGCTGTTCATTGCCATGCGCTTCAACGACGGCGATGCAGCCATCAACATCAAAGATAGAACACATCGTAGTTTGGGTCCGGGTCCAATGGCGCGCCTTTGCAAGAAACTGGGACTCGTCGGCTTTTGGGCTCTTCCAGAATATGTATCCTATACCACCCCACAACTTCTGGTTGAGCTTGCCGGATTGGTAGTTGAATCCGGCTGGCCACGATGCCCTCTTCCACAGCATGGCACTGCCAGCCTTACGGCGCTTCTTGCTGCTTTGCTTTGGCTGCCCCATGAACGGCGGTGTGGCCAGCATTCAAGTCCTCCTGGCCTTGGGGGGTCAAACCTGAAGCAACTCCTCCGACTCCTCCTGGCCTTGGAGAAATCCCCCTCTTGTGCAGCGCAGATGAGGCTCGACGCACGGCTTCGAGATCCCGGCGGCACTGCGGCAAACGCACTCGTCCAGCGGCCCTCGGCCGTGTGTGCCTTTCTCATTGCATCCTCGCATGCTGCATTTGCAGATGCCATCCTGATTCAGGTGTCTGCATCTGGCCATGGCTGGACGAACCACGGAAGTTTGACAGCAAGTCTGAAACATCGATGGCAATGTGTATGTCGCTGGCGCCTGCAGCCAGATTGCAAACCTTGCTACTGAGGTTTGCGTGTCAGCTTCAAGCCCGCCTCGGCCAAACCAGCTGCAGCCACACAAGGGCTGCGGACAACTCAACCCACTCAACCCATAGTCACCTGCCCCGGCAAAACCGATAGCTCCCGCTGAGCTCAGATAGACTAATTTGTCACAAAGGCCGTTCAGATGCAGCCCCACGACTCACAACAGCATCCCAAATAAACTAGTTCGTAATCATTAATGAGGCTGCTCCGCCAAGAGACCTGCCATGGGAATTATGTCGACCATGCAGGACTTGAGATCCAGCACAACTGTGTCAACACCTGCCGGCAGCTCCTGCGCAAATGGATGATGCCGAGCTGTTTGATGGTACAGGCTTCCCGACAAGTAACTTGTTAGGTATTCGAACCTACCCTCGCGGTACAGCACCGCAATTCGTCGTGGGCACACCTAGATTTTTGTGCCAAAAATCGTAAACAAACCATGCCACAGCCAAGGGTGGTGATGCCAGTTCAGTAGACAAGTCCAACACAGTTGCTGACCAGCTGCTTGTACAGAAGTTTGCTATCGAAAGTCTGAGACTTCCCCATCATGGTGCTCGCTGCATACGCGCGGCGAGGTTCATGTGAGTAGTGCAGAATGTCCAGCGGTTCACAAGTCAGTTCATCACGGTCTTGGTACAAAGGGAATTAAAGCTAGTCCAGCAACCTGTTCAGATATGTGGTCATCACATCAAACAACAAGCCTATCATCTGACTGCATGGATTGAAGAGTTGTTGTCAATGAGATTCGCTTAATTGCCTGGAGGGTGCGGCATGGGATGTCACGTGTGTCCTGGAAGGAGAAGACCGTGTGCTCTGGAGGCGAGAGGGTCGTGGCAAGAAGCGAGCCCAAAGCCAGAAGTGTTAGGCCATACAGAATGAGAGCCTCAATAGGGAGGCAACCAGCCATATGTAATCAAGGCCAAAACAGCACGCACTGAATTGTTCTGCCAAGCCACCAATGACACTGTTACGGCCAATGACTTGCATGCTGTCACCTGCCGCTACACAGTCAATGGACAAAATCAGCAGCAAGAAGGACAAGCAATTGCAAGAGATACAAGCCTTTGGAGCCGTTGCAACGGCTGCTTCGTCTACCTGCGCTTCGCATCTCCACGCTGCCGCATGTGTGCCGTCTAAGATACGCCCTAGCCTTTGCCAGTAGCCTTTGAACTGTCCGTGGCTGACTTGTCATTCTGGATCCTGGAGATTTTGGACATCACGCCGCAGTGCAGTTCAACTGACAAGCGCTTAAAGTTGCAATGCTTGAAGATGTGCGGCTTTCCGGCCGTCCTCCTCCCGCTCTGCCAAGACCGTGTTCAGTACATGACGCAGCAAAGCTCGACTATGCTCTACACTTGTCCCGTGCATTTTGTGCACAAGTGAAATTACCATAAATTACCCTCTCATGTGGGAGCTTCTCACAAGAAGGGGGCCTACAGGATCTTAGGATACAGGAATATAAGAGGATGAAGACTGCCGACTGAGGATTGAAAGGGCCTCTTTTGAAAACTCGTCTGCCAAACCGAAGCGACTGAGCATGCCTGGTCCCATGTTAAGCCACAATGCCTGCCCAGACTTTGCATGTGCAAGGGCACCAACAAGTACCCCTGTGCTGCCCAGACTCGCGCACAAGATAATCTTTGCAAGCTGCTCGGAGCATATGTACATATTATATATATATATACATACACATTTTGTTTTCTACTCTTCATTTGTAGATTTTTCTTCTCATATCATAGATAGCAGCTTTTCTTACTTTCATACTATCCATCGTCATAATAAGTTAGACGAAATAGACTTATATCATAGATATCATCAAGACACGAGTTGTTGAGTCTTATATAATCTATTAACAAATCAAAAACTGAATGTATAGATATGAGGCGAGGACATTTACCTATAATGTGACCTTCTTGTCAAACTCTCTTATAGTATATATATATAAGATTTTCTTCGACATACCAAATTTTAATTGAAAGAGAACCTATAACAATGCATAACAATACATAGATTTCACATTAATCGATTCAATATCGTATTTAATAAGTATGTTCGAACTCCATATTACGTCTAATTTCACTCTCTAACTTAGTTTTTACCAGCAAAAGCTTATTCAAATCATTCTCAGGCATCGAGAGGTCGCTGCATTACACGTCTCCGTTGCTGGAAGCAGCGACTCCACTCTTCTACTTGTGCAAGCTGAGAAGCAACTCCTGATCATTTCAGGAATTGTGTCTAATTTCATATTGTGATACTACGAAAGCAGGAATGATACTACTGGGCCTACATTCCGAGTTTATTCCGCACAAATTTCGCATATATCTGGCTCGACCGTAATTCTTTGATGATGTTTTGTATCGAGTTTGAAGATTTATCCGGTATCCACGGCGTTTCAGGAGCTTAACCAAACCTCAGCTATGCGACTAAAGAGGCGTTTCCCCGAGTCGGAATTTTTGTTTGCTCGTGCTTCGAGATTCCAAGCTTGCCGCGCTCTCTGCACGGCTGTGTCTGGCACCTGCCAGTAAGGTCACAGCTAAATGGAGCTGCCCGGGAAGAAGCTACTAGTGCTTTGCCGAACGCCAAGCTGGGCAGGTTTACAAGAGTCGTGACTTTGCCTGGAGACTCGCGTCAGTCTTGCCTCAAGACACTTGACGCTTTGGAACTTGAAGGGAGCAAAGTTCACCGCTGTAGCAGGTTCTTCAACGAAGCACAGCACCCGTGTAAGAGTGCGATTCCGAACCTGGGACCTCGGAGAGTAAAGGAGCCTGTGAGCCTCGGAGGCTTTCGGAAGCAACTACCTGGTGCCCGCGTTACATGAAAGTTAGGGGCGGCGTGCAAACTACCCTTGGCATCTTCAAGAGTCTGTGGCGCTTGTGCCACATGCCCTTCAAACTACCCTAAACGACACTTCACAAGAAGCTTGACGTTGAAATCACCTCAAAGCCTGAAACTGTTGAAACAACGCTGCTGGAAGACTATGGACGGCTTATTCCACGAAACATGGCTACTGACAAGCCTAGGAGTCCGTGCCCGGCACATTAAGCGCAAATCACAAGAACACCTGCAACGGGTAGGACTGTGATCTCATGTTGGAAATCTCATCTACAGATCATGCTAGAGGGAAGCTCGTGTGAGAGGGCCAGTCATTGCAACATGACTACACGAGAAATTGCGACAGGCTTAACTGCTAGGCATGTTGACGTCACGAATGGCTTGCTCCTGTACCTTTGACGTTGGGAAACCGCATCATGGGCCATCTCGCAGGGCCCTGCGCCCGAAGACGACTTGCCGGCGGGCGATACGACCCGCCAGGGTCGTATCAAACATTGGACCCTCCTTGAAATCTGAAGGTCTGGGTAATAGCCACCTCAACTACGCACACTTCTTCGAAAGCTAAACGTAAACACTATTTTTCCCGTGCCTGTCTTTTCTGTGTAGCATGATGCCGTAGCACTTGACCTACGCGAAGGCAACAGTTGCTAACATACTCAAGTTTCTGCGAAGCTTGTGACCACCCTCCAACAGCACCCTTTAAGGGAAAGGGCTGTTAATTGTTTACAGAGCCTCCTCACAGGCTAAGCCGAAGCCAAAGGAGGGCTTCAAGAAGGCCTCCTTCGCCAAACTCCAGCGCGGAAAGGATGTTGCCCATGGCAGAACTGAGCCCTGCCAGAAGGGCTTAGGGGGTTTAGGGTTGACTCCCCCCCTCCCGTTTCCTCTTGCTTGCTTGCTTGCTAGGGGTTTGGGGCAGAAGCCCCCGGCCCGAAGGCCAACCCCACTACGGCTCGCGTCCAGCGTCTGTCGTTCGCCCCGTGTTGAGGCCAGCAGAAGTGTTCCCACCAGGTGGCCACTGTAAACCCCCCGAAAGAACACCCCTCCTATAAAGCCATGACCATGTAGACCCCTCACAATGTTCCACCTGGGTCTTCCACTCTGCTGACTAGCCCCTTCCTTAGCTCTCTCTGTCTCTCTCTTTTGCTTCTCGCACCAGGGGAGTCCGCGCTTGCCCTTCCCCCCCCGCCCGATTTCGGGTAGCGGAAAGGAGTGGGATTTACACAGACGGATTGAAGCAAAACGGAAGAGGAAGGAAAAGGAGTGCTCCCCCGCTAGTTCCAGCAGGGTTTCAAGGATGACCACTCTTTCTCTCTCTCTCTCTTAGGGGTTTGGGATGCTTGGTCCAAAAGAGTTTCGTCTGAGGCTGAACAACAAGCTGCTGGGACTGGGCCTGAAGCGCAACCAGAAATGTTTCGGCGTAGACTCTTCGAGTTCGTCTGCCTGAGGTTGGGCACTGAAGATGTCCAGAACTTGCTTCTGACTGCTCAGGCCGCAGCCAGCTGCCAAACTCCTGCAACGATCCGTCAACGATTTCAAGAGACAGCAAGAATTGCTGTGTATCGATGGTTTGTGTACTGATTTTGCTGCTGTTCGAAGCGACTTTTGATTAAGCGCGATGAGGCGATCGTGGGCGCATGAACTAAACCAGGAGTTTTTGCATTTTAATTCATGTAGGCTCTCCTCGTAAATCTTGCCAAACGATGGCTAACTTCAACTTCGACCGCCGAAAAAGTCGCTTGGCCTGGACTGTTACTCAGACCCTTGGAATTCCTCCAGTGGAGCGCGACCATCAGTTGCCAATTGCCAAGCAAGGCCTTCTGGTAAGCACTGCAACCCAACCAAAATCAGCCATGTTCCTCAAACCACAAGCTTGACCGGTTGTTGTGGAGTGTGTGCTCGGGGATGCGCCGTACACAGCTCCCTCAAAAAACTCAAAACTGCAGGGTGCCTTGCAGGTGGGCGCCGGAATGCACATCTCGGACAGACACACCAGGTACACGACAGGACTACTCAACTTTCCGCTATAAGCAATGTGAATCTAGAGTCCTCAGCTTGGCACGTAATGAACCTAGCATCTCTGGCAAATCGTCTGTGTCCGCCTTCCGGATGTCCTGCGAGCCACCATCCAAGCAGCAGCTCAACAAGGTCCGCATCAGTATTCAACATACGTTTGTGAATGCGGTGCTGCGGCCTTCTCTGCAATGGGCAACATCTGAGTATGCCGTTCGGAACCATGCGCAAATCACGAGGTGGCTTGTGATCCCTGTGCACACGGATCCGACATGTTCTGGGCCAGCCACAGCACATGCAAGGAAGAAGATGAAGTGCGGCTGCCCTATCAGCGGCTCATTCTGCGGCTGACAGTAACTCACATCATCATCATCATCTTCATCA